TTGGACCGGCCCTAAATGCTTCACATTATAAATTACACTTAGACCCCACATATTACAATATATTATTTTTTTATTTTAAGATCCACAAATCACAAAAACCTTATCCCTCTCTCCACCCATTTTCCCACTTAAAGACTGTTACTGTTCTTTACCTTCCCTCCATCTTGCCTTCCCTCTATTTCTTTCACTGTACAAAAATATTTATTTGTTTGGTTTAGATTTTGTTGAGTCTCCGAGATTACAGTGAAACTCCATTATTTTTTTTTTGGGTGAACATTGTCTTTGATAATCTATTGGTGATCCAAGTCTTGATCAGATATAATGTAAGTGAACGTTTTTTTTAATTAATAGCTTAATTTATATGGTGAAACCATTTTTGTGGTTAATGGTTTATTTTATATTTAGGGTGAAGAAGGAACATGAAGCTGAAGCTAGGGTGAAGAAGGAACATGAAGTTGAAGCTATTAGGGTGAAGAAGGAACATGAAGCTCAAGATATTAAGTCATCTCACCCAAGCTCCTGGCTTTTTTACTAGTGGAGATTTTTTTTAATCTACTAAATTATTTGTGTTGATCTTATTTTGTATTCATATGATCTAATCGATGCATGTTTTCACTATAACAAGGATTGACTGAAAACAATCAAAGGTAAGAAAATAAAAAAATTGAACCATGGGGTATAAATGATATTATGTTGATCTTTATTTTTTATTCCAATGATTTTATTAATGCTTGTTTCCACTTTACTAAGGACTGTTTGTCTTCATCTCATGTACAACCTTTCGCTACTCAATCATCAGACCATGAAAGAACTTGGCATCCAATGGAAGAATTTGAAACATTGCGAGAAAGAAAAATATTTAGAGATGACCAAGTCGTCAAAAGAAGAGTATTTTAGTCGAGTCGTAAAGAGAACTCTAACAAAAAAGAAAAATGTTCAAAATCATAATATTTTAAATGGTTTATCTGTTTTGTTTCTCTTATACAACTTTTATGGAGGATGGATGACTCTTCCTTTCTTGCTTCCCTGCATCTAGCTTTTGTTGGAGGGGATGTCCCTACTATTTTGTTCCCTGATGCAGCCTCTTATGCTGACTGTTGATTGGCTTGCTGGGCTACATTGGGGGTGATTTAATTCCTATTTGGAGCCTTTTCAGCTTACTGTTGCAGCTAGGGTTTTGACCCAACTGGTTCATTTCTTCTGGGTTGCATATGGAAGATACCTTCAATCAGTGCATCTTATAAACTTGTGTTTTGGGGGTTTGGCTTTTTGGATTTGTACATTTGGGTGTTCGCCTTGTATACTTGGTTCTCTATTAATACAATTTACTTTCCAAAAAAAAAAAATTCTTGTTTTAAGGATTTTCGATGTTAATTTTATGAATTGAATGAATNGGGATGTCCCTACTATTTTGTTCCCTGATACAGCCTCTTATGCTGACTGTTGATTGGCTTGCTGGGCTACATTGGGGTGATTTAATTCCTATTTGGAGCCTCTTCAGCTTACTGTTGCAGCTAGGATTTTGACCCAACTGGTTCATTTCTTCTGGATTGCATATAGAAGATACCTTCAATCAGCGCATCTTATAGACTTGTGTTTTGGGGGTTTGGCTTTTTGGGTTTGTACATTTGGGTGTTCGCCTTGTATACTTGGTTCTCTATTAATACAATTTACTTTCCGAAAAAAAAAATTCTTATTTTAAGGATTTTCGATGTTAATTTTATGAATTGAATGAATTTGAATATAAATTAGATGAGATTGAATGTTACGAATTAAATGTTTATTAGTTGAATTTTAATGTTAATTTAATGAATTATATGTTTATTAGGTAAAATTAAATGTTGATTTGAAAAATTGAATGTTAATTTTGTGTAAATTTGATGAATTGAGTTTTAATTAAATGAAATTGCATGTTTGATATTGATGTGATAAATTGACTATTTATTGAATGATTTTAGATGTTAATTTGATGAATTATAATATTAAAAGGTTAAAAGTGTAATATAAAAAGGTTAAAAGTATAATATTAAAGGATAAAAGTGTAATATATAATACAGGATCGATCTTCCATTCCCAGGACCGGTCTTAATTAAATTACACTTACACCCATAAAGTATAACAATATTTTTATTTTGTTCTTTCAACTAATATTTTTATTTCACAACTATTATTTTTTTTGAAGATAAAATATAGGGGTGTGGTATCGATTTCATGTTGTGTCACTTTCGGTTGTGTTAATAAAAAATTATTTAATTTGACAACGATTAATATAATATTATTTAAAAAATTATAAAATTCTTATTTTTTATCTAAAATACTTATNGTGTTGTGTCACTTTCGGTTGTGTTAATAAAAAATTATTTAATTTGACAACGATTAGTATAATATTATTTAAAAAATTATAAAATTCTTATTTTTTATCTAAAATACTTATTAAATAATTATTTTCTATCTACAGTACCCATTTATTACTTGTGTTAATGAATCGTGTAATTTTCGGATTCGTGTCGGGTTCGGTTCGAGTCAAAAAATTGACACTCCTAATAAAATACATATGCAAAGTAAAAGTAGAACAATTTTTCCTTAAATATAATTGATATTAATNCATTTTCTATCTACAGTACCCATTTATTACTTGTGTCAATGAATCGTGTAATTTTCGGATTCGTGTCGGGTTCGATTCGAGTCAAAAAATTGACACTCCTAATAAAATACATATGCAAAGTAAAAGTAGAACAATTTTTCCTTAAATATAATTGATATTAATAATTGGGTTATCGGGTATAACTCTATTCGGTACAAGTTTAATGGGTGGATTACAATTGGACTGGATATAGTATAACTTTTGATTAACTGCAACTGTTTTGGTTAAGTACATGTCTTATAGCTACTATCGAAAATAATCGGCCGCATCAATTTTAATGAACCTTAAAAAAACACGGGTCTCCCATACAGGCCAAGCTACTTTTTCGGTATAATACCGAAAAGTAGCTCGGCGGNGGTATAACTTTTGATTAACTGCAACTGTTTTGGTTAACTACATGTCTTATAGCTACTATCGAAAATAATCGGCCGCATCAATTTTAATGAACTTTAAAAAAACACGAGTCTCCCATACAGGCCAAGCTACTTTTTCGGTATAATACCGAAAAGTAGCTCGGCGGTATAGTAGTGTTACTCGTCTCTAAGCCTATACGGCAAAATACGAATAGATTTGGGCCAACCTGTCGGCGACACACCTTATCATGAACTCTCTTAAATAGTCTGCATCTGAGTAGAGATCTGACTCTTCGTTCTAAGCTTCTTCTTCTTCTTGTCTCTCTCTCATCTGATTGGGCCGCCATTAGAGATTTTCCACCTTTGAGGTAAAATCTACTCCTCGAACCCTAGTTCCACCTTACTCTCTCTCTCTCTCTCTCTCCTTTTGTAATCAGCTATAGAACTTGAAATTTTGGGAACAAATAATTGTTGCGTTTGGNCCTGATTGGGGCGCCATTAGAGATTTTCCACCTTTGAGGTAAAATCTACTCCTCGAACCCTAGTTCCACCTTACTCTCTCTCTCTCTCTCTCTCTGCTTTTGTAATCAGCTATAGAACTTGAAATTTTGGGAACAAATAATTGTTGCGTTTGGGTGGTGAGAAAATGAGGAATAGAAACAAGGTTTTTCCCCATGATTAACTAGTCGTGCTGTTTTGGTTTCTGGCTTCTCAGGCAAGATTCGAAGTTTTTTTTTGGGTGCTTTTGTGGTCAACAATATATCTCAGCCGGCCACGAGCCTGTGTAAAATTAGTTTAATTTCGTGCGATACAATCAATATACGGTGGCTTGAAAACGGTTTGGGATTCTTCAAGAATGAAAGAAAAATTGACTGTTTATGTTTTGAATATGTATGTGTAAACAATCTATGGCCCTATCTAGTCTGATCTTTTGTCTTTCCCCCTGGATTATCAGCAACTTAGAATCATGATTTCTGTAGTGTAGCTGTACTAACATCACCATTTTTTGTATTATCATTGCTTTGTTTATTGGATTGTCAGAGCATTCCGATTTGTGGCTTTCTCTTGACTATCCTGTCTTATTCCCCTAAAACTATGGTTATTTATTCCACCTACTATGTTTCTGTCATGACAATGGAGATTAGAGAGATAACAAGAGCCCTACATGTTGGTTGCCAACCATACTTACATTGATATGTCCAGTTTTTAACAAGAGCTCTACATGTTGGCTGCCAACCACATTGATATGTTCAGTTTTTAGATGATGTTGTAGTTTTGACTCAAGTTAATTGAAGCCTATGTTTGATGGTGATTTTGATTTGTCTTTGTTCATTAGCTCGATGAAGTTATAAATTAAAAACAATCACTCCTGGGAGGGTTTTCCCGGATGCAGTTTAGTATGTCCCTTGTTAGATTTATAAGAAATATGGATTGGGTGTTAAAAGATGTTATTACTGAACCTAGATTGAGTTTTTGAACTATTTTTGAAGCTGATTGAAGGGATCCTTGTGGAATTTGAGGGTTTTCATTGTGATGGTTGCTTTCTGATGTCGTAGTTTACATTCGTAGCAATGATTCAACCTTTTTATCTCTCACAAAATAAATAAAGAAAGAAAGATCCACATTTGACCTACGTAGACGATGATTTTATGTGCATTTGCAATAAATATACACTTCTTACTTGCACATATTACATACCTGGGTGAGTCTTAACCATCTGTGTTTTGTTGAGCCACTGGAGCTAGAACTCTGTGCTGTTGTAGTTTTTCTTAATGTCAAGCTTCACTTTCAGGTAGTTTTATATGGTTTTATGGATGCTTGTTCCCTAAAATTTAAAATTCTGCGAGAATTATTAAATAATAATGTTAATGCCAAAAGCTTCTGCTACGTTCTTCTTAAGTATCCTCAAGAGATTCCTGTTTCCGCTACTATTTTTAGCACAGGCAGTGTGATTCTTTTCTCTCATTTGTGCGGTCAGAACAGAAGCTCCTTCAAAGCAAAATATGGAAACAGAGGATTTACGCAGTCTCCCTGCTTCAAGCACTTTGGGTAGTGGACGTGAGAATAATAACAGTCGTGATTCTGTTGAGCCTGGTGAAGCTGATTCTCTACCTACTAATTCTGAAGTTAAAGATAGAAACCTGAAGGTAGAGATCCACAGGAACGATTCCTTCAGCTCTGCTGTGCATGCTGAGAATGGTTGCACGATTGTTCAAGGTGAAAGCCGTCTCAGCAATCATAAGAGAGATGGCAGTCCTATCAGCCGTCATGCAGTAGATGAAAGTCGTATCCTGATGCTAATTTTCTTGTGTATTTTTAACTATGAGCTGTCAAACGTTACTCTACTAGTTTTGCTTCCACCATTCATATTTGTTGTGGTGGAAGAATAACTTCCTTCTTTAATGTTAAAAGGATGCAAGTTTTGTTTTCACCATTCATATTACTGGAATATATTCAGACTAACAAGTTAGCAACAATTCTTTCTTATTATTTTTTGTTTCAGTTTGAGTCTNCGTTAAAAGGATGCAAGTTTTGTTTTCACCATTCATATAACTGGAATATATGCAGACTAACAAGTTAGCAACAATTCTTTCTTATTATTTTTTGTTTCAGTTTGAGTCTGCTGTAATAAATTTCTGAATCTTGTCTTTATTAGTTTCCTGATGTGATGTTTTCCATAATTTAACATGCCAGCTATATCTGGTGTTAAGAGGTCTCGAATAACTGTTGTTGAGCAGCAACCTTCAGTGCATATTATGTATAACTCTCTGCCAAGGTGTGAACCTAATAATCATTCTTTTTCGCTAAAGGACTTATTAAGTCGTACTTTTGGCGATGGCTAAAGTTAAACCCCAAGTGTATTGGGTATGTTTCCAGGGACAGTAAACAGAAGCTTGAGGAGCTGTTACGGCAGTGGTCAGAATGGCATGCTCAACATTGTTCTTCATGCCAAGTAAGCCTGATTCATCTTTACTAGCTAATACTGATTGTCTCCATTCTCATTTTCGGTGTCCAAAACTTCTCTCCTAGTCAAAATGCTTTGACGTTCAGGACAAAGAAGAAAGCCAAACTGCGAGATCTGCATAATTTGATGTTCTCGAAAATAGATTGCATTGCGGGACGATTTTGTAGTCAATTTTTGGGAATACACTGGTGGTCTTGGGGCTTTCTGTAAATCCTCAGAAATCCTCCTTTATTGGATCAAAAGGTCTACATATGCCCATGTTTTCCTCAAAGATTGATGCAGCTTCCATATATCAAAATTAAAAACAGTGCAGATAGAGAATTATTTGTTCACTCGTAGTTACACGTTGGTTGGCTTAGGGACAGTGTGCTGTCTTGTCTGACCATAATTGTTTCTCTCTGTATTCTGCCTTGCTATAGAAATTTCTGTGGTATTAGCATCTCTGGTATTAAGTTGTGAATGCAGTTAAACGAAGTTAATTTTGTGTGGCACATGAACCCCTTCATGTTCGATTTTCAATTTTGCATTATGCAGTCAATTAATCTGCCAGTTTATATAGCTGTTAAGTTTTTTGTATAATTTTATTTGAGTTATATGCGCCTCTCTCTTCAGGATTCAAATGAAATGTTAGAATCAGGTGAGGAGACATATTTCCCAGCACTTTGTGTGGGCCTTGACAAGCCCTCTGCGGTGGTAGGTTTCCTATTCTGCCTCTGGTGTACACATTCATTTGTAGACTAAAAGCATTAACCTGATATATCTTCCTTTGAGCAATATTTGGGGTGTTTCAATGCTTATTTTGCTCACTTGTCGTACTTTGTTGACCTATTTCATACTTTGCCTCTATTTACAAATAAAGTTTAAAAAATTGCTAACTTTGGCAAATGCAGGATCCATCATCTGCTGAAAACAAAGAAATAAATTATGCATCTTTTCCTAAAGGAAATTGGCTCTCACAATAAGTTGTTTATGGTCGTAGCACTAATTGACAACCTTATGTGTTTGTGTGATCACTAACTAATTACAATCAGAGTACTGTCTCAGTCACGTTTTTCACCTTTTTTGTTGGTTTTTGTGGTAGCAATAACTGCCTCTGTTTATTTTGTTTGTTATGATATTATTGTTCATAAAGTTACTTGTGATGAACCCGTACCTAAAGGCACTCTCTGTAATACAACAAATTTGTCAATCGAAAAGTTGAACCCAGTCAAATAACCGATTAAAAACAGAGGAAAATGAAAATAAATAGGAATTATCGGAACGTATAGCAGAGATGCACGCAACCTACTAAAATTAAGCCAATCCAATGTCCAGATTTGTGAGTAAAGCAAGTTCAAATCACAATTTAATAAAAACTCTCTATTGTCATAGTAAATAACAAAACAATAAATTACAATTAATAAAAAGACCTGAAATATTATATCTACTCAACAAGACCTTGGCTTGCATTTACAAAAATCTTCTCAAGAATAAAAAAGGTCAAGAATGAGTTTGCTTCTTTTATTAAAAAGCCAACAATGTTTGAGAATATACCTCATATGACTTCCAATCAAACCCAGGCAATCACATAGCTAAATACATACACAAACAATAAAAAAAACACACCCACAACAAACCACACAAAAGCACCCACGACATCACCAACACCAGGAGGTCCAGGACAGTCACCTTCACTCCTACTACCACGACCAAAATCTACCACTAATCCACAATCAACGAATCCAATCGAAGATAAGAATCCCATTAAATAGATCATAACCAAATAAATAAGAAAATCAAAAAATAGAGAACCGATTGCTACCTTTGGGGCATAACGATTGACTTCACAAGCCATAACTCTGCTATTTCTTGTCACGCACATGAATACAATTCGATTCCTTTAAATAGACATAACCCGTATCACATAGAATGCAACATTTCCTTCAAGAACAAAAATCTTGATCATAAAATAATTTTATTAAAAAAAGTCAAAAAAAAAAAAACTCAACAGGTTCTTTTCTTTCAATTTTTCTTAAAGGTGGTTTTTCTTAATTTGTATGTGTAAATGAAAAAGAAAACATAAATCAAAATAATTAACTGGAAAAACTTATAGTCTTGCCCTAATCGAACCAAAATTTATGCCATAGGTAGGTTAAATGGTTGAATTGAAACCTTAACCCTAGTATTTTGGGGCATTTGGTCGAACACAACACCTTTGGGGCATTTGGTCTTGGGGCATGTGGATGTGTGTGCGTGCATACAGTAGCAAAATAGCAGAATATTGTATGTATATTGTCCACCCCTGCCTACAGACCTAGTTCAGAGTACATCTATACATAAAAGTACTTATACAAAAGTCCACAACCCAAACCTTGTTCTTCCATGTGTGGCTCCAATGTGGCACGGAAATTTCACATAAGTTGACGAAGTGGCTATCACTATAATTAGTAGAACTTATTGCTAATTTGCACCAAAAACATAGTCCTTTTGAAAAAAACATAACCCAAAAATATGGAACCCATGATAGTGTGAAATCAAAATCAAAGTAATTGCAAAAACAGAATTTATCAGACGGATACCCAACTGAGAATGAAACTTCAATAGCAGACGATAAGGGAAGATGTGAATCTGAAGCAGCTTGCGGGAGGAGGATCTTTGTGTGTGACATCTGTTTGTGAGGGAGGAGGATCGTTGACCCTCTCGAATTTCGTTGGCCATGGCGCCGTCTGTGGGCCATCATCATTGGCGACCATGGAAAAAGATATCAAGAGAGAATAGTACGTGCAACTATGACTTTTTGGAGAGACACATGGCTTTGTGAGGATAGTGGGGGCAGGGAGAGAGAGAAGCCAGAGCAGAGAGCATCAGAAGCTCTGTGTGGTTAGTGGCAGTGCCTGATGACATCACTGGTGGTGGTCGATGGAGGTAGTTGGGCGATTGGGTTTGTCTCTATGAGAAGAGAGACGGAGAGAATGTGAGAGATGGACAAATTAGAGAGAAGGAAAGAAGAGAAAAACAGAGAGGGACGAAGTGTTGAGAGAGAGGAGAGATGGGGAGAAAGTGATCAGATTTTGGTGAAGAGAGAGGTGGGGAAGATTATGTCAGAGATCGGGGGAGGAGTGACTGACGGCATTATAAGGGGGGATTGATAGAGGGAAAGGGGTGTGAGAGACAAGCCTCGTATGTTGCCCATTGTATCAAATTTGGAAAAATTTAGAATGATTTGAATTGCGAAAAGCAAATGTCATTTTTATATCTTCAGAGGATTTGAAATCCTTCATACTTTATTATATAGATAGTTTTTTATTTCAGTAAAACATGAACTAAACACTCAATAGGAATTTAGGCTCCCTGAGTATTTGTAACTATACCATATACGAACAGATGCGCTTAAAACTTGTTATGAAGGGGCTGACTGGGGTCAAATGCTGCCTCTGCCACTTCAGGGAGGACAATTGTACTTTTAGAGGTATTGACATGGGTTTCTAAGATGCATGTCAAATTTTGTTTCATTGGTTAAGCTGCCCATTTTGCTCCTACTTTCTTCCTCGGCAAACTTTTTGTTCACAACTGTTGCATTTTTAGGTATTGTGTAATGTGTAAATATGTTCTTGTAATTCAGTGTGTAGCCAAAAATTTGCCGCGTGCTTCTACTGCTTTACATTAAATAATATGCAGAGTCCTTTCTTGCTGTTTCAACAGTGGTTGCCTTGCCAATACACCAAGTCAAGGAAGAATTTTTGTTAGTCATAGAAGTTTGGTTCTATATTAGATTTTTCAAAAATTTGCATTTAGGATTTCTTCTGAATTTGTTGTTTCCATCTTCTGNTAGAAGTTTGGTTCTATATATGATTTTTCAAAAATTTGCATTTAGGATTTCTTCTGAATTTGTTGTTTCCATCTTCTGGGCAACTTGAAAATGCTATGCAAACTAATCCTTTGAAATACTCTATCATGTGTAGTCTTTCTGGATGGACGGCCAAACAGGGCCTCCGGACAAAAGTATCTCATTGGATGGGAACTCCATCCCTCTTTATGATCGTGGATTCTCAGTGGCTTTGACTTCAACTGATGGTTCATGTAACCTGGAAGGGTAAATTTGTTTAGTTGTGTGTGTTTGGTTCTGGCTTGAAGTTTCTTTTCTTTTTGGGTAAATAAAACGAACTTATGGTTGAAAGAATTAGCTTTTACAGAAAAAGGGTAAAACACAAAAAACCCCTTATTGAAAGCAAAGTGGCAAGCTATAAATTCCAAGGGCTCTTCATGTCAAGTTCAAATTCAAACTATCATTACTCCAGCTATAAAATGCAACACATAATTTTCATGTAAATGCCATCAGCACAGCTCCTTAGCAGCAGAACAAAAATTATTTACATGATTTTTCATCCACAAACAATTTACTGTGTAACATCTCCAATACATAATTTCTTTCCTTTTCTTCTGTCCTTGTTAATATAGTTTCTGATGAAAAATTACTAAGTTTTTCTGGATTTTATGCGGTTATGGAATATATATCATTTATCAGGGTCAAATATGATTGTTAATAAGGACAAGCTTTGTCCATGGAGTTGGACTTTTCTAGAGTTTCCATCTGGGATTTCATGTCTCTAGATCTTGACTCTTAAACACTGACTTATCTCAATTGTCTAAGTGCATATGAATTAATGCAGTGCCTACTTACTAGAAAAAGGTGAAATGTCTACCTGATGTAGCATACAATTATGTTTTGCATTTTGAAATGATGATGTAACAAGGAACATATATAAGAAGGTCGTTGAGGAACTTTGGTAGATGGAAAATTGCATTACTCTCTGCTTTCTGNGTTTCCTGATAGTATGCTAAATCAAACTAATCCTTTGAAATACTCTATCATGTGTAGTCTTTCTGGATGGACGGCCAAACAGGGCCTCCGGACAAAAGTATCTCATTGGATGGGAACTCCATCCCTCTTTATGATCGTGGATTCTCAGTGGCTTTGACTTCAACTGATGGTTCATGTAACCTGGAAGGGTAAATTTGTTTAGTTGTGTGTGTTTGGTTCTGGCTTGAAGTTTCTTTTCTTTTTGGGTAAATAAAACGAACTTATGGTTGAAAGAATTAGCTTTTACAGAAAAAGGGTAAAACACAAAAAACCCCTTATTGAAAGCAAAGTGGCAAGCTATAAATTCCAAGGGCTCTTCATGTCAAGTTCAAATTCAAACTATCATTACTCCAGCTATAAAATGCAACACATAATTTTCATGTAAATGCCATCAGCACAGCTCCTTAGCAGCAGAACAAAAATTATTTACATGATTTTTCATCCACAAACAATTTACTGTGTAACATCTCCAATACATAATTTCTTTCCTTTTCTTCTGTCCTTGTTAATATAGTTTCTGATGAAAAATTACTAAGTTTTTCTGGATTTTATGCGGTTATGGAATATATATCATTTATCAGGGTCAAATATGATTGTTAATATGGACAAGCTTTGTCCATGGAGTTGGACTTTTCTAGAGTTTCCATCTGGGATTTCATGTCTCTAGATCTTGACTCTTAAACACTGACTTATCTCAATTGTCTAAGTGCATATGAATTAATGCAGTGCCTACTTACTAGAAAAAGGTGAAATGTCTACCTGATGTAGCATACAATTATGTTTTGCATTTTGAAATGATGATGTAACAAGGAACATATATAAGAAGGTCGTTGAGGAACTTTGGTAGATGGAAAATTGCATTACTCTCTGCTTTCTGTGGCAATTTATGTGACTCTATGAAGTTATAAATTATAATGTTGTGTCACCACATTTATATATGGTACAGCTTGTCACATAGTTCCTTTAAAATGGTAGGGGTTTGGAAACTGTCGATGCTTCACGTTGTTTCAATTGTGGTTCATACAACCATGCATTGAAGGAATGCCCGAAGCCTCGTGACAATGCTGCTGTAAATAGTGCTCGAAAGCAACACAAGTCTAGACGTAATCAGAATGCGAGTTCCCGTAACCCGACTCGATATTATCAAAATTCTGCTGGGGGAAAGTATGATGGTTTGAGGCCTGGTGTCCTTGATGCTGAGACACGGCAACTTTTGGGCCTTGGGGTAAGATAACTTGTTCCTTCCAATGACAAGGCCTGACTAATTTTTCTCATTGGTCTGTTATGTGCACATTGATTTTCAAACTTACAGCTGAAATAATAAATATAATATGTTTAGATTCTGTGAATTCTGGTGCCCATAAACAGAAATCGGAATATGATTATGATTGGATATAATGTTTAGATTCTGTTAATTCTGGTGCCCATAAACAGAAATAGGAATATGATTATGTTTGCTGTGTTCAGTCTTTAGACTGGTTGAATGGTTTTATGATATAACTTTTATTTATTTCTCTCTCTCTCTCTCTCCATCTCTTTGGGCGGGGGATTTCTGTTAAGAATTATTGTAAAAGTTTTTGTTAGTAAAGCATAATAGAGTATTTTCAGCAGAATGTCCTGGTGTTTCTGTGAAGGTGTTACTAAATTATCCAGGTGTGAATCTCTTCACTAGCAGTTCCCCCATCCCTCTCTGCAACATTTATCCTTTTCTCAGGCTTTTTGTGTGTGCGCACATGTGCAAGAAACCAGAAATGGTTGATGTTTATGTCTGATGGTGGAAGTTTGAAAAACATATTTTCCTCTTTTTCTTGCAAGTGTAGGCAGATCCTTTAAAAGAATTATTTAATAATAAAGTTGGCATTACAGGAGTTGTGTTCAACCATATTCACCATCTCTCTATTTTAGATTGCATTTACCCCTTCAGAACTTTTGTTTTTGTTTGAACTGAAATGCTCAAGGGAGATCTGGTTTGTGGAGTAGGACATGAAATAGTATTTACATGCAATAAATAGCACATGTAACCATGGATGACTCTTGGAGTTCCTAACAGAAACCCAAAAAAGTTCTGCAACAAAGCCGTCCCCTCTCTCCATCTTTATCCTTATGGCTAATTGCAAATAACATTGTAATAGTACCAAACTCAGTTAAGGATCCTGCTCGTTTGATGCTTTCAAACTTTAGTTGTTGATGTGAGATAGTTTCTTTTGAGTTTCCAGCTTTCAGTTTCATGTTGAATTGTTTAACCATTGTTCACTTTGGCTTTGCAATGGTATAGAATATTTTTGGGGTAAATAACGGTATAGAATTTTAATTGATGGAAACGCTCTGGTTGTAATAGAATCNCGGTTGAATGGTTTTATGATATAACTTTTATTTATTTCTCTCTCTCTCTCTCCATCTCTTTGGGCGGGGGATTTCTGTTAAGAATTATTGTAAAAGTTTTTGTTAGTAAAGCATAATAGAGTATTTTCAGCAGAATGTCCTGGTGTTTCTGTGAAGGTGTTACTAAATTATCCAGGTGTGAATCTCTTCACTAGCAGTTCCCCCATCCCTCTCTGCAACATTTATCCTTTTCTCAGGCTTTTTGTGTGTGCGCACATGTGCAAGAAACCAGAAATGGTTGATGTTTATGTCTGATGGTGGAAGTTTGAAAAACATATTTTCCTCTTTTTCTTGCAAGTGTAGGCAGATCCTTTAAAAGAATTATTTAATAATAAAGTTGGCATTACAGGAGTTGTGTTCAACCATATTCACCATCTCTCTATTTTAGATTGCATTTACCCCTTCAGAACTTTTGTTTTTGTTTGAACTGAAATGCTCAAGGGAGATCTGGTTTGTGGAGTAGGACATGAAATAGTATTTACATGCAATAAATAGCACATGTAACCATGGATGACTCTTGGAGTTCCTAACAGAAACCCAAAAAAGTTCTGCAACAAAGCCGTCCCCTCTCTCCATCTTTATCCTTATGGCTAATTGCAAATAACATTGTAATAGTACCAAACTCAGTTAAGGATCCTGCTCGTTTGATGCTTTCAAACTTTAGTTGTTGATGTGAGATAGTTTCTTTTGAGTTTCCAGCTTTCAGTTTCATGTTGAATTGTTTAACCATTGTTCACTTTGGCTTTGCAATGGTATAGAATATTTTTGGGTAAATAACGGTATAGAATTTTAATTGATGGAAACGCTCTGGTTGTAATAGAATCTTGGATTCTTGTTTGAAGTTCCTGAGGTCTATTGTTGATTTTGTAATCGTCACTGTGATGAAGATGTTTGTTTGTTATACAGGAGCTTGATCCACCTCCGTGGCTGAATAGAATGCGTCAAATGGGATACCCACCAGGCTATCTAGGTAACTAATTCCTTACCTAAATGCCAACTTACCTACTAATTTCTTGTGCTGTTGTTACTTGTCTCGTATTGTTATTTATTTATTTTTTTTGTCGGTTCTAAAGTTGTACTATTCACATTGTCTAGTACACAAACTGATTTTTCATGTTCTCTGGGACATGGCTTATTTTTTTTTTTCTCTTTTGCACAACTCTCTCTCTCTCTCTCCCCCCCCCTTTTTTTTTCCTTCTTCCGCCTCTTTTTCTTTCATTATTCCTTGTTTTTTAACCATTGTGGCTTGACTTTCACCTTCATTAGCATTGTTATACCTTTCTTTGTGGTTTCTTTTAGATCCAGATGATGTGGACCAACCATCAGGGATTACAATATTTGCTGATGAGGAAAGTAAGGAAGAAATGGAGGAAGGGGAACTTCCTGAGACAGCCTATAATGAGCCACCTAGAAAAATGAGTGTTGAATACCCGGGGATAAATGCACCAATTCCAGAGAATGCAGATGAAAGGCGTTGGGCAGCTGCGCCTTCGAGTTTCGATCTATCTAGAAATCGATCTAATCACAGATTCAACCATTCGTCAGAACATAGCAGCAAAGGAAATTATCATGAGCAAACATGGTCCCGGGATTTCAGAGATGATTGGCCTCCTGGCTGTGAACCTGCAACCAGCCCATCCATATCTGGATACTCTGGCAGGTATGGTGATTATGACTTGAGTTACAATTCCCACAGTCCAAGAGGTAACATTCCACTACCGAGAAGCCCTAGTTTTGGGAGGTCTCTGTCAGACAGAGGTAGAAGGAGTCCTTTAGTTCAGGAGAGTTCTTCAATCTATAATTCATATGGTTCTTCACTGTATTCACCACCTGATAGGCTGCCTTCTCCCCGGCATTATGGGTTAGACAGTCGCAATTATTTCAACCCTGATTCTTCATCTCACCATAACAGTACACGTGATATGCCCACACGTCATAGTAGGTGGCGAATGCCATAAATATGATGAAACCGCCCACCAGCATTATGTGTTGACCAGTTTGGACAGTCCATTTTCTTTTCTTCTCCTTTCTTTTGGGATTGATTTTGTTTGGATTCGATTTGGGGAAACACTGTAGAGGCATAAGACAAATCAAAGGTATCGACTTGTAATAGCATTAGTATATCTGAACTGAAATATCGAGGAAATCTGGATAATAGCCAGAATGTTGGGGGAAATTGTTGGGTTATCTAAATCAAATTTGTGTATCACTGCAACGGAATCAACAGAGGATTCATTACCCTGGCCAACTCATGAACGTGTATTGCAATCTCAAAATCAGGTGTGAGGGCCTCAACAGATTCATCAGCATTCACATTTCACCTTATGCTCAGTTGGACGAGCCATCAGCGATCTGAGCTAAAGGCTGCAGATCGATACTTGGTTGAACAAGAATTTTTCAACCCAGTGCCATGGCTGAAGGCCTCTAATCTTCCCTCAGCTCCCGTTAGAACAATCACACAAGATGAGAAAGTTCTGCTGCACTTCTCCGTGGTCCTAGTGGTACCAACAAATTTACATATTATAGTGGTCTCTGTTGGCTAGAGGTCAGCATAAACCAAGCTGAAATGAAAGGTACTTTCTCGGAGTATGTTAGGGGCTTGTTAGTGCTACTTGTGGCAACTCAAATGAAGGCACCTATGTATGTCATACAGCAAGTAATACAAATGCATACAATCGGTCGTTCTCTAGAGGAATGATAAAAATGTCTGGGTGCATCAAAGTAGATCCAGCGTTTGACAATCTTGTACTGTCACTTGGTTTCCTTTTTTGGGATTAACCTAATCTTCTTAGGCATATGTAGTTCTTCCGTTTTATATGCATCTTGTAATTACAGGGTTTTATTGCTGGGGAATAGCTCCAAGTCATTGACAAGGTTCGATAATGTTGATAAATTCTGTATTCACTTAAATACATACATTTCTGTATGGATCTAAGCATGGTTTGTAGGCCCTAATATCAATGGGGAAAATTGGAATGCTTGATTCCTTGAACTATGAAATACTTTTTCATCTTTTCGGCAACTCCAATTAGCATCCATTGGTTTTGGTTGGTTTGGGGGGGGGG